AATGACATTTAGTAACTCTTGTAAGACAGTACAACATATTCTTTGATCAAATTAATATTAATAGTGCTTAAATTGGGTTTATTTTTGTTCTTTTAATTTACAGATTTATCTCAACTATCTGGCAATACGAACTACAAATTTTGTTATTTTAATAGTAACATCCACATAGTCATAAATAATTGGCTATTGTCTTTACTGCTTTAGGTTTGCGTTTTGTTACTTTTTTAGCAGCAAAAATTACTTTTTTAGCATACTTTTTAAGCAGCAGTGAGTGGACAGGGCCGTCCGGGTCACCAATTTAGCGTATGAGTATATGTGTGTTGCAGCTAGTGATAGGGAAGCAGATATGCTGCTTGCCATTGAGCGCTCACATTTACCTCGAGTTGACTTGACACCCAAACACTGATCAATTATAAAACACAACATGCAATATATATTAAGAGATATCATGAATATGCATGAGATGTGATGTCATGAGTTCACTACACGTGTATCTATTGTTACTAGGAGAAGCAACTGATGGTGAGACTAGACCTGTAGGAAGAGGAATGGCTACACGTAATAGTGAGTTCTTTTATGCTAGCAGTAAGTGTATCTATTGTTACTAGGAGAAGCAACTAATGGTGATACTAGAGCTGTAAGAAGAGGAACAGCTACACGTAATAGTAACTTCTTTACGCCAGCAGTAAGTGTATCTATTGTTACTAGGAGAAGCAACTGATGGTGATACTAGAGCTGTCAGAAGAGAAACAGCTACACGTAATAGTAAGTTCTTTTATGCTAGCAGTGAGTAAGTGTATGTCTCGAGCTGTGTAGAATGAGGTATGCAGCTAGTACCAATAGCTCAAAATAATATCAGGGCAAAAGAGCGTGTGTGTTTGAGAAAATTGTTACGTTTAAAGTTTAAGCTTACTGAGTAAAAGTTCTATTAATGATTGGCACCACCCATTTTGTGGCACTTGTTTTATCTAGGTAAACTATACTTTGCCATCTCATGAAACTGCAGCAATAGTTGCCCTTTATTTTGCATGATACCCAGGGCGCTTATCTCTCACCTTCATAAATGCTCTCTGTTTTATTTCTGTCTTTTTGTGTGTTTTTCTTGTTCATGTCTTATTCTTATTTGAAAGCTAGTAATGATAAACTAAATGACTGTAATGTTAATTTTTACAACCTCAACTCAATGTCTGAGGTTTTCATAAAAGTGTGTGCAATCTATTATAATTTTTTTTATAACAAAAAAGAGAAATTGTTTTATGCAATTATTATAATTTTTTTGCTATACACATGTACATCTATGAAATTTTTGATGTGATTAATTGTGTAGTTAACATTGTTTGTAGTGTATACTTGTGAAACAATGCACATTTTATACAGTCACCTGTTCTGTTGATTAACTGCTGACAGACATAC